TTTATTTTTTAAAAATCATTATTATTAATAAAACACAAGAAAAAAAATATTAATTATTAATATAAATAATAATAATTATTATTTATATAAAATTGTTCTTTTCATTTTGCTTATATTATTTTTTAAAAAAATAAGTTTAAAAACTATATTAATTAAATAACAAACTTAATAGAAACAAATTATTTTTAAAAAAAAAATTTAATTGCAATGACTATTTTCTGATTTTTTAAAATTCTTGTTATAAATAAGTACATTAACTATGTTTCTGAAATCTACTCCAACTCTTAGTAATTAAATAAAAAATTAAATATAATTCTGAAACCTTAGATTATAAAATAATAATAAATCAAATTCGAAATAATTTTTAAAAAATTTGAATTTAACTAAACGATTTAATAAAGTAGTTTTATTTTTACCTAACTCATCAAGTTACATATAAATTTATTATATACATTATATTAAAATATATCTTGTTAATTAAATTTAAAAATAGTTAAATTAGATGGTATATGAACAAACTGAATATGAAAAATCACCCTTTATATTATAAAAATTTAACAAAATAAAAATAATTTTTGATTTGAGTTTTATTTATTTATTTATTTATTGATTTGGAAAACCAAATTTCTAACAATTATAGAAATTTCTTTTTAAATCTTCACATATATATATGACATCATGTATAATACTATTTAATAAATATCTATATATATATATATATATATACACACACACATTACATTTTAAAAATAAATAGATAATGAAAGTTTGGCAGCTTGCGTGGCAGCTCCTCGAGCGGGGTATGATTACAAAAATTGTCAGCTTACCAATTACGTGGCAGAAAATATGATGTCTACGTGGACATATTATTTGCCACGTGAACATTTATTTATTAAAATTATTTTAAAATATGAATATATAAAAACTATATAGTTTAATTTAGTTTTGTCATAATAAAGATTTAACCATTTGTATGCTTGTCTGGTTTGAATTTAGTCTCTTGCTGGTTGGGGGGTGTACTTGAGAGAAAAAAGTTCAGGAAGAAGAAGAAGATAAGAAAGAGAAGAAATGGGTGGTCTGAAACTCTTCTTTCTCTTGTTGTAGAGAGAGCAGAAAGAGAGGATGAAGAAGAAGAAGATTAAAAGGAAGAGAATTGGTTTCTCTTCCAACACAATTCTCTTTACTTACCCTCTTCGTGGAGATTGCAGGGTTGGATTTTTTTTATTTATAATTTTTTGTTCTTCTGGTTTTCACGACTTTGTTTGTAATACCAATTCCCCTGATTCTTCTCTCTACAGCATTTTTAATTATTAATTTGACTTCACATTCCAGAGCATTAGTTATTTTTGCACATAATCTTAATACAAAGCTTTCGTTTTGTCAGACTATACATCGACTCCTTCGCTTACTTACACAACCAAAATCCAAACTGAAGTTTGAAGAACTTAACTTCATACCCAAGTTGCAATTTCTACTGGGTATCTGCATCATAAGATTATCCTTTTATATTCAAAGCTTCTGCCATTTTCATTTTCTCAGTTAAAACTGAGAAACATGCTGTTAAATTAAGAATGACTCTGAAGATTTCAATTTGACTCAATCTTTCAAATTCTCAAACTGCAACTTAATACCCCCCTTCAAACTTAATTTGATTTATTTCAAGCATTAAAACATAGTGATGTCTTGTTTGAAACAATAGCTAGTCCTTCTTTTTGCTGTGGTCCTTCTCTTAATCCTACCAGTCGTTACTGCTAGTAATCTTAATCCTTGTCATTGTCTGATCATAGTTTTAGGCATTGTTTAAGTCCTTGTTCTAATATTCTCGATGCTTATCATTTTAGCTTTAGTCCTCATCTATAATAATAAACTTAGTCATAATCCTAGTAAGTACTAGTTATAGTATTTCTACTGCTAGTTTCAGTTGTAATCTCGTATTATTAGTATAATAACTATAATCGTTAATAGATTTGATTTGACTAGTTTCAGTTGGATTATACCCAGCTGACTGCTGATTTAGCCACACGACAATTTCGTTTAAAAGTGAAGTAAAACTAGAAGTTTTTTTGGGATGAACAAGACTATATTATTAAAGAACTAGAAAAATAAAAAGATCAGTGATTAAAACTAGCAATATTACCTGCAATCTATCATTCTTGAGCAAGAAGTTTGATACCAAGAACGCAAAAACCAGTAAAAAATTATTTTAGAAATGTTGTTATGTTAAAATGAATAAAATTTCGTTTTAAACTATATAGTAGAAAGTAACATGTGACTTGAATTGAAAGACATGATCTATTATAAATTTTAACTTTTATCATATTATATTATATAAAAATAAAGGAATTCGTGACTCAGACATTTTTTATTCTATTAGAACTTTTTTTCTGTTGAGTTGTAATATAGAAAATAAAATAAGATGAAAGTTGAGAAAAAATTTCGAGTTATGAAATATAAGTTAAAGTTTAATACGTACGAAACAAAGTTTTTCACTTGCTTAAAAACAAAATATCTTGAATAACTAAAATAGAAAACCCAGGTTAAAACCAGAAACATATAATGAAGAAGGTTTTTTTAGGTGATCATACATTTATAAAAAGAACAGAAAAAGAAAATTACCTATCTTTTTCTATCCTTTTCTTTGCAATTTCTGTTCTTTTTTTTTTTTTTTTTTTCTAGTTCTTGTTCTGTATTTCTCTTTGTGGAAGGGGTACAATATCTATATATATTTTGCCTTAGAGTTACATATATAATATATCTAGCTCTGTCCAACATAAGAAATTTAAAATTAAGTTCTCTCTCAATTACCTGCATAATTCTAGTTTACTCTTTTGGATTAATTTTTCTCCTCTCAACTACAAGATTCTTATTTCAAATCAACACAATCACACACATATAATGTATATATAAGTCTGATATATATAGAGAAAAAGAAAAGCAGAGATCTTAATTAGAGTAGTTCATATGGTCTCTCTCTCTCTCTCTCTATCTCTCTCTCTCATCTTTTAGCATATGTGTGTGTATGTGATTAGATATAGACTTTCTTATTCTTCTTCTCTAATTGCAATGCTTTAATATATATTTATAGCCGATAATAATTGAAGAAACTATCTTTACTTTGCCTCTGTAAAGATTATACATACTTCATATATTTGTGTTTGGTGGGTCTGATTAATTATAAATGTTTGTGTAAATAATAGCGTATACAGATATATATATATATATATATATATATATACACACACACGTCTATGTGAATCTCTGGAAGCATTTGAAATGATGGCAAAAGCTGGAGTTGGGAACCAATCTGAGAACATATGTGTTGAAGGAGAAGCACTTTCCTTTGGGTGTGCATTTAGAACGATATTGTTTATAAGAACTTCATATATGTATTGCCTGATCAAGTAAGATTGTAATAATTTTTCAGAAAAAAGTAAAATAATAATCATTATAACACAATAAAATTTGTTCAAATACGCAGTCAATTACAATCATCATTTTTGTTTTTGTCATTGACACCAGATCGAAACAAAATCATAAATTTAACAAATTGATCATACAAGTAAAGAAAAAACACATGATCGCTCTTACGCAGGAAATCCAGAAGCAGCTTGCAGGCACTAAAAATAAGGACTAAAATCTTACCCATTAATTTGTCAAAAGCTACATGTGTATGCATTCGCATTTTTGGTTTAATGAGAAAAAACTCGTACATATCATTGGTTAAGCAATATACATACATATCAATTATCACACAATTTCTTGTCGAGCAAACTCAATTCAACTTGAACTTATAATTTCTTGTCGAGAAAGAAGAAAACACGCGAAGGACAAAATCTACCTCAAACTCAAAACATCTTAGTAAGAGAAGAAAATATTATCAAATCTTCACAAAATAAGAACCCAAAACAGCAGGAAGAGGTCATAAGAAGCAGTAAATTATAGTAAATAAATCAAGAGAATTGCATTAAGAATAAGAGGATTACAGCCACAAGTAGTAATGATGATAGTATGAAAAAAATAAACAATAAAACATTTGAGCATGTACA